CCGCCGTCGTCCCGGCCGCCTCCTTCTCTCCGCGGTGCTTCTTTGACGACCCCATGCTTGTACGTCCGCCCCGAGCCGGGCCGCCGCCGAGCCCCGACGACGCAAAATGGGAACACTTCCGGGTCGCCCAGCGGGCCTGTCGTGTTGCCGGAAACCGAGAGCGGCTGCTTCCGTCGTTCGCTTCGGACCCTGCCCCCAAAGGCTTATGGGAAGACCGGGGTCGGAGTCCGACTGCGCAATCGCGGCCGCTTTGGGCGGGGTGCTGGTCAGGGTGCGCGTTCGCTCCTCCAGGCGCTCGGACCCGATCTGGAGAAGACGGGGTCCCAGAACTATATATACGACCTCGAGGACGTCTAAGCCAATTTCTGGAGCTAGAAAGCCCTTCCCGACTTCCCTCCGCTAGCATACCCCGAGCCGTGGGACGCTCGCTGCCTCCACGGATTTTCCGTGGACAGCTCCTTCCGCTCCAATAGGCGTCCTCCTTGTGGACTCCCTGGAGTTGTGCCTCAGTCAGATGCTGGAAGACGCAAGCATGTGCTGCTCCGGAGCCCGAGCTCCGCAGCCCAGCCTCCGAATCCTTGTAACCAGTATTGTCAGCAAACGTTGCTTTCCCTCGTTCTCTGGATTGGATTTTTTAACCTGTGCTCTGAACTGCTGAGAAGCTCCAGCCGAGCCTCTGTGTGTCTGTGAACCTTCTGAAATTAAGTGCAAACTTCGGTACATCTGTGTGTGCGAGCTTATTTTTCCTTTAAGCGAGGGGCTCTAACTTGAAGTCATTTAAAAGCCCAGTTCACACAATCCCTCCAGACTCTCCAGCCCCAGCTGCTCCATCTGGTGGCCCCTCTGTTACAGTGTGACATATACGCCCCTTTAAAGGTCCGCCTCCCCCACCGGACTCAAGGGCAAAGGTCATTCTGTCCTACTCTTGAATTTCTAGGACTCAGAACTCCTTGGATATGTGGGAACAAACAGCCTGCTGCCTCCCCACAGCTGCTTCCCACCACCACCAGAAATCCCACACTGTATTTTACATAAAGCCTTTACTTGTTATCTAAGCGACTGGGTTCTCATTCTGGGCTTGGGGCGGAGTGCCTGTCAGGCTGGCTGCTGGTGGGTTCTGTCCTCGGGAGGTTCTGAGAAGAGTGCTCCATTCTCTCTCCCACTGACTTGTGGCTCCTTAAAAGACAAGACGAAGATAGAGGCCACTGGGCTCGGCAGCTCCCCAACCCCACACCCAAGGAGACCTGGATCATAGGAGTGGAAAGGCCATTGTCATTGATGATTTGGCTTCCAATCTGGCTCTTATGCTGTGTGACCCTGAGGAAGTGATTTCCCTTCCTCGACCTTCGGTTTCCTTCTTGTGATTTGGGCCTCATAACCCCTGCTCTGCACCAGGTTGCTCTAAAGCATAAGGGACAGTACACATGAGGTGACTGGCTTGGCACCAGCCACTAATGGGGGCTTAGTGTGTGGCAACTCAGATGGCCACAGGTTCCCAGACTGGCTCTGTTGCTTATTCATTCCTCTGTCCTTGGGGAAGACCCTGCCCTCAGGTCTTTAGTTTTCCTCATTGGGAAATGGGTGTGGGGGGGATAGCCTTGGCCCCACTTTCCTCAGGTGATATGGAGGACAGAGCTTGGGGAAGGACCTGCTGACTGCTAGAGTGGCAGAGTCAGGGGCAGGGGACTGGGGGGCGGTGGACATGGTAGGACTGAAGCTTAGATTCAGGACAAATCAACATGGCTGCCCATGGAATCCCCTTAGCCTTTCCCCAGACATCCAATCCAGGTTGAAGGGGGCCAGGGAGATGGCTGGAGGAGACCCTGCAGGGCCCAGAGTGCTGCCGATGGCACCCCTTCTCCCTACAGCTGGGCAGAGCCAGTTTCTTGGCCAACTAGATGGCCTCACCTGGATTTCCTGGAGGTGCCCTCTGTGTTCCTCATTTCTGCCTCAGCCAGCAGCTGCTCTTCATTCAGACCCAGTGCCGACAGCACCTGGGAGAAACGCCGGGTCACCGTGAGCCGGGCATTGGCCTGCGGAGGGAGAAGAGGGATTCCCACTCTGCACCAGGGCCACCAAGGACGAGAGGGGCTCTGATTACTGAGGGGATCCCAGGGCTTCCAGATGGGCAGCAGCCCGGCGCCCCATCTAAGGGGGCCCACTCCCGCCTCGCCAGTGAGAAGCTCTGTTCTCAGGGGGAGGCTGCATGCTTGCCCTCACCTGCATGGCCTGCTGGAACAGGTAGGGCCGGGCCTGCACCCTGTGTTGGATGCCCTGCAACTCTGCCTGGTACTCAGCAAAGCGCTGTCGCTCCTTGCGCCTGCGGGGAGACGGGCCTCTGGGCAACTAACCATGGACGTGACCCATCCACACTTGTGAGCCACCTGCCCTCATCAAGGACTTGACCACCTGCCACCCTTACCTTTACAAAGCCACCCTGGATTCCTCCCGAGGTCAGTGGAGTGGGAATTAGTATTTGCCGCATTTTACCCGTGATTACCCTGAGGCTCAGGAAGGTTGAGGGACTTGTCCAAGGTTGCACAGCTGGGAAGTGAGAGGCTGAGCTCTGAGCCCAAGTCTCCAGGCTGTGCAGCCAGGGCTCACTTATCCTCCCAGCCACCCCCAAGAGAGAGAGACCAGCGCTGGTTTCAGAGCAACTGGGCATCTGCTTGCACAGCTTCTCCCCTCCCCAAGTCCCCTCCCTGCCCCCTCTCACACTGCATCTGTAAGGAGGAAGCTGTGGCTGTTGGCTGTGGCTTTGAACAAAGCCCTGTGCTGAGTCTAAGCTGTTTTCTCCTCTGTGCTATACTGGAATTGGACAAGCCTGCCAGCATTCTCTGTGGCTCTTATAAGTGGACAGCTTAGAAAATGGGACAGAGAAACTAAAGAATTGTGTTGCGAACGATAGAACACATCCTGGAAAGATCAAGGTTCAGCTGGGGAAACACAAACTCATTTACAAAAACCCAGTTTGTGCACTTGTCGGAAATGCGGATGCTCAACAAGCTGGCAGCAAGAGGGGCCCTCTGGCCACATGGCACATAGGTCTGGGCATCCTCCTATGAAGCACGTAAGAGAGGCCGTTGGCATGGTGGCAGCACCCACAGACAGGACGGGAGGGGAGAAGCAGACCAGACTCTGAGACTCGTGCCGGGGCCTCCAGCAAGTGTGCCAGGCCCTGTGGAAAACACTGCCTTCCTGGGCCTGGACCCTTGGCTATGAGCCAGGGAAGGAAACTTACTCCATTTAATAAAAAGAGATGGACTTGAAAACCCAGGGCCGAGAACAGAAGTTACTGCAAAAAGGAGTCTTCACTATTTAAGAGGAAATTTAAAGCAGTTACAAGGGGCAGGGGCAGGGAGACATGAGCTGGCACTCAGTCTCTGTATTGCCTGTGATGTCACATACCATTTCCCTGCTTGATTCTTTATGCTATCTCTGTTAAAATTGAGGGAAAGCCCATGTCTAGGAGCCCCGAGCAAGAAAGGAAGTGATGTCAGTGGATGTCAGCAGTGTCCATCATGTTGGAATGAAAGGAGGGCACATCACCTCCCCACCACGGGGCGACCTCTCTTGTGCCCGCCCCCCTGGGCAGAGCAGGCTCCAGTGCAACTCAGACAGAGCCAAGTTCACAAGCTATAAGAGCTGAGGAATCCCGTGGGAAATATCTGCTCCAAGTAGAAAATAAAAAGTGCGTGTTTGACACACTCTTCTCACTGACATCTCTGCCCCTCGGGGTTCTGAACCTTCATAAGAAACAATGAACTTGAGGTCTTACAAGGAGGCATCTCCCAGGATGAAGGGAGCGGAGGCGTGGAAAGGGCCGCCCTCCAAGACTGCGCATCGAGCCCTCCAAGACAGTGTAGCAGGGTGGCTAAATGGCTGCCTCGGTTAGAATTCCAGCTTTGTCTCCTCGCCTGTGACCTTTGGGAAATTATTTAAGCTCTCTGAGTCTCAGTTTCCTCATCTGTAGAATTATGAGAATGGTGATAATACCTACCTCATGGGCCTGTTAAGAGTCTAAAAGAGACCTGCTGTTAAATATGTATTTGCTTTTTTTAAAAAAAATGGTCAAAATATAGGAAGAGACTAAAACAGATGACTCTTCACCTGACTGCGAACAGTGGCTGTCTCGGGAGTGGGATCATAGGCTCCCGTCATGTTCCACATCATCTGTTTTGGTAATATCTGAATTTTTATACTATGTATGCCTGGCTTTTAAAATCAGAAAAACAAGATTTGAAAGTGTGATAAAGCAGGTAGAACATTTTAACCTTGAGCGTTTGACAGCTTCAGAGATTGTTAATATTAACTGGGTGACCTTGGCCCAGCCCTTCTCCTGAGCCTCAGTGTCTTCACCTGTAAAGTGTGGCAAAGTGGCCCAGCCTGCCTGCCCGGGCTGGAGGATGGCTATGGGAAGGCGAGGGCTGAGCCTCCTCGGCCCTTCTGGCCCTTCCATCTGCCACAGCACCGCCTCCCCGCCCTCCCCCTACCAGGCCCTCCGCAGCCCTGGCTTCGTACCTCAGCTCCTCCAGCTTGCGCTGGGCGGTCCCTGACCCCCGACTCCCTCTTGGTGCGTAGGCTGCCAGGCAGCGAGCCACCTGCTGCTGTACCCGCTGCTCCCGGGCCCTCCGCAGCTCAGCCTGCTGCCGCTCCTCCTGCTGCTGCCGCTCCCAGGCCAACAGCAGGCTTCTTAAGTGGGCAGTGGGAAGAAGAGGGATGGGAGACGTCTGTGGGGAACAGGAGCCTCATGGAAGCTCAGGGGCCGGGTAGGGGATCGTGGGGGCCTGAGAGGTTGCAGGAACCCGGAGAGCCACGGACCTGGAGAATGGGGTTTGTCATGGAAGTCTGACATGATGGAGGCTGCATCTGGGGCTCAGCCCTCGGCGCAGCTCAAGGCCTTTCCCTCCTCTTCCTGGAAGCCTCCTGCCTACTTCGGCCAGCAGTGTGCCTCAACTCCGGATGTCCTCGGCGCACACACCTGTGGCCGCACCTGTATTTTTCACTTTCTATTGCAAAGCAACTCTTTTTGAGGGCAGGGGCCGGATATTGTTCTCCTCTCTGACCCCCATGTCTGGTAGGAGCTCGATTAATGCATTTTGTCTTGAGTGACAGACAGATGGATGAAAGGACAGGAAAGAGAAACAAAAGGGTGATGCGATCAATAATAGATGGGCGAAGGGAAGAAGGAATGGTGTGGCCGGTTGAATAGACAACACCTAGATTGACCTGGAACATTCTTCCCCCAGATCTTGTGTCCAGTTCCTTCTTATCAATCAGGTCTTTGCTCCAGTGTCAGGGAGAGACGCCCTGACCACCCCATCTGCCTCCCAGGTATTTTCCAGCCGTAGCTACACATTTCGGCAATTTTTAAAAATTATCCTTCTCAAGTAGAATGTAAACCTCATGAGAGCAGGGTTTCTTGTCTGTCCTCTTCACCACCAATGTATCCCCGGCACTTAGAACAGTGCCTAACATAGGCAGAAACTCGATGTCAGTACATTCATGCGTAATTGGACCATGGTCAGGTAGAAAGATAGACAAAGGGATAGATGCAGTCATTCACTTAGCACATATTTATTGAGCACCAACTATATGCCAGGCCCTGTGTAGAACATCAGAGAGGTGGCGATCAAAAGATCTGACACCTGCCCTAAGTCTATATACAAGGATGGACAGGCAGCCTAGCACCCCACTGCGAACAATGGCTGTCTCAGGGGTGGGATCATGGGTATTGGTCACATTCTACAAATATTTCAGTAATATCTGAGTTTTTATACTAAGTATGCCTGGCTTTTGAAATCAGAAAAATAAGATTTGAAAGTGCGATGAAGCGAGTAGAAGAACATTTTAACCTTGAGTGGCAAGAGCTACGATGGAGGCAAAACAGAGGACAATTGCCTGGAGAGGTTCCTGGCTTGAGAGCTGAAAGATAAATCTCAGTTAGCTGGGTGGAGAGAAACGGGCAGTCCCAGGAGAGGAAGGAGGGAGAGCTTGGAGCATTGCAGCCACTCTGACCAGCTGGCGTGGGAGACAGAAGCCTCCTTCCCAAGGAATCTGGGCTTTTTTTGCTCCAAAGGCACCGGGAAGCATGGAAGGATACCAAGCAGGACATGGCAGCGTAAGAATTGAAAGATGTTACTGGAATGCTGAATGGATTCTCACCTGCCACTTTTAGCCAGTCACCAAGGCCCACTGAGCCAGCCTCCAAATATCTCTTAAATGGAACCCCCTTCCATTCTCATGGCCGCCTGGCTCAGGCACTTAACATCCCTCACTAGACAATGCCAACAAACCCCCTGCCCAGCCTTACCCCTCTGCTCCCGTCATCTCTTGTTAAAGCCCTAAGCACAGCAATTATCTAAGTCTACTTCATTATTGCTGCTTTGCCCATCTGTCTCCTTTTCCAGCAGACCTTGAGCTTCTCAGGTCTGGGACCAAGTCTTTTTATCTTTATATCCTGAGGACCCACGAGTATATAGTCAATATATGTTGCATTACTCACTTAGTTAATAAATTAACAGATGGATAGAAGATGGGAAATAAATGAAAATTTGTTTCTGTCAATAGACAATTGGCCAAGCAGACGACAGAGATAAGATGGATGGACGGATGGATGGACAGATGGAAGGACGGACGGACGGATGGATAGATAATCAGGAGATGGCGAGTAAATAAATGAACTGGCTCCTTCTGGCTCCCTGCTTTTGGCTCCTGCCTTCCCTCTTTCGCCTTACCTGGTGGCCTCCTGTCGCTTGTGGAAGGTACGGTTAGGGAAGTTGGCAAACAATAGAGTCTCATCGTCTCCCAAGGCATCCATTTTCCCACTCTGGTTGGAGGCCTGGACAGCAGCCCGCAAAGTCTTCCAGGGATGTTTTTTGGGGCCTATCCACAGGGAGACAAGTCAGAGACTATCCTCTTTCCTGGCCCATTGGGCATTCCCACCCAGCCCCTGGAGCCCAGCCCAGCTCTGTCTGAACTCCTGGCCCAGGTCGCTGCCTCCCCAATCTCTCTCTCCACCGAGCAACTTCCTGGGAACCCAGGCGTTGAGCCCCACACTCACCACAGTTCAAGTCTCGCTGTAACTGCCTCCTCAGTTTCCCCAGGTCCCACGGCCCCTCCAGCTCTCTGGCCCTCGCCGTCCCTTGGCACTGCGGTTCACCTTCATCGGAGGCCTCCTCACTGGAAATCCGCCCCTTTCTCCGAGAACCTGCCCTCTTTCTGTGGGGGACCCTGTACACCCCCTCCTCAGCCTCCTCTGTCACCTCTGCAAACCGTTCCTCCTCCAAGATCGACCTCCTCCTGGGGAGCTGGGGCAGCTCCCCAGGGCTCAGACCCCTCTCGGCCTCCTCAGCACTCAGAGCTTCCAGCTCAGCAGCTTCAGCTTCCTCGGATTCTGACCCAGACTCTGACCTCTTCCCAGGTGGCCAGAGGCTACACTCACTGGGAAGCTCCAGCTCTTGGCCCTCCCCTTGGCCGGAAGAGGCAGAGATGCAGCCACAGGCCCTGAGCTGCTGTCTCCTCTCCAGGTTTGGCACCCTCGTCTTCCAGCAGAAGCCATGGGCCTCGAGGAGTTTGCTTGAGGACTTACGCCTGGACTTGTGCTGGGGGTCCGCTGGGGGCAAGGGCAGGGCTTTGTGGCCAGGAGCCAGGGGGGCGCCAAGCTGAAGCGGAGCCCGGCCCTCTGTGGTGAAGCTCTCCCAGGCCCACTGGAAGGGGAAGGAGGGTTTCCGAGCAGAAGAAGGAAAGAGGCTGAGGACGGAGAGGGCAGGGGGCAGTGGTCAGGGTCAGGGTGAGAGCCCCCAGTGGGGCCCGACGCCCAACACCCGTCCCCGCCTCTCCCACAGCGCTTACTCCTCAGTCTCGGCAGAGCCACGCCCTTTCTTGTTCCGGGCCCTGGGCGTCCGGTCCTTCTTTGCCATCTGTCCTGCACTCTGAGACCTCTGCCGCTGGCCCTGAAGTATGCCATCACCACCCCCAAGGCATCCCTGGGGGAAGACAGAAGAGGAGGCTGAGCTCTGAGCAGCCTCCTAGGCCACCTCACACCTCCCCAGGGAACTCCCCTTTCCTCTGCACCTTGGCTGGCCCCTCTGCAGGGGGCCACCAAAAACTGACTGCACCTCGATACATAATAGCAATAGCTGCTGTTTATTTACTGAGCACCTACTAGGTGCTCAGGACGTTCACATATCAACTCATTTAACCTGTGAGGTAGATGAGACCCCCGGAGGCTCAGACAGGTAAAATCACTTGACTAAGGTCATATGGCCAGCAAGTGGAACCAGAATCTGAACATGTTGAGTCTGTCCCCAGAGCCCAGATTTGTCACCACTACACTATGCTGAATCTGGGCCCTAGACTGCTCTTCAGAATGCCCCTCGGGACACCGGAGTCGCTAAGCCAAGGTGGAAGAAACTCATTATCTTTCCCCAAACCCTGCCCCTCCTGCAGCATTCCCGAAATTGCTCCATCAGAAGGCTGGGAGTCATCCCCAGCCATCATCCTCATCTTCAGCCCACGTCCTCTAGGCCTCCCCACGGTCCCTTACCCCCTCGAGCCTCCCTGACTCTCAGCTGGGCCTCGGCTCCAGTCTCATGGCTTCTCAAGGGCCTCCCTCAGCCCTGGCCTCCCCTGGCCCCAGATAGCCAGCCTGCCTCTGGGCAGTTGGAAGTCTCCCCATGAGGCCTGCCTCACCTGCTCAGCCTGGGGGGTGTCTGACAGGAGTTCGAGCAGCCCCTTGACAGTCCCTGAATCCTGGAGCTGGAGGTCCTGCCCTGGTCTCTCTGATGGGGTCCTGACCAACTGTTTGTGGGTGTTCAGCATATTGGTATCCTGTCCCATCCCCCACCCCCATCTGCCAGCCTTGGAACTGTCCTTCCCACCATCTCTATGGCAACCAGTCAGTCCTCAGCCAGTCTTCAGGGCTCTGGCAAAAAGCAAGCCAGGAAGGGTCGACCAGAGTACTTGAGGCCAACTTCCTTTCAGAAGAGAGAGCTCAGCAGGGTAAAGGCCAGGAAGCTGAACCACATGTCTAGGAGTGAGGCAGCAGGCATACCAGAGCAGGAGGAAGCCCTGGAGGGAGTGAGCACATTTAAATCCTAAGCAGCGCCCAAAAGACTTGACATGGTTCATCCCCATGGGACGCCTGGCACTGAGCACTACGACCAGCAGTATCAATCTGAGGTTCTGGAGATGGACCTGCCAGGGCTGGAGGCCTGGCTTGGCCTCTCACCAGCTCTGTGACCTTGGGCAAGTCACTTCTCCCCTCTGCAAAATTGGAATCACGGACCTATCCCATAGGTTTGTTGCAAGGATTAAATGAAATCGCGAAGGCAACACACTCAGTAAACGTCTGTTATTATAACTGTTGTAATAACTGACTGTTATTGGGAGGCAGCAGAGCATGATGGTTAAGAGCACAGAGGAAGCTCCGAGGTTCAAATCCTAGCTCTCCACTTGTCACGTTTCTTTTCGGTGCTTCCACAGCTTGTGGTAACTGCTGTGTCAGCGTTGTTAGGCAGCTGTGTGGCCCCAGTGAGACAGGTGATGAAGCAAATCCCGGCAGATGCCCTTGAGGCACGTTTTTCTCGGCTCTCTGCTCCTGGGGACCCTCATCTGCTGTCAGACTCCATCCCAGTAACACCTCTGCGATGAGCACATCCAATTTAACAGTCTAACTAACACTGCAGGTAAAGGGCTTTTATCACTCAAAATAGGTAAGCTCTGTTCTTTCTGGTGGGCTGTCATCCCCCGTACCTGCCTCCTCCTCTACCGAATGTCATCCACGGGACCCCGGGTGGAAGCCAGCCGTGTAGGGTGTTTTGCTTTCAGAGAGCAAGTCCCCTCCAGACCCTGACCCAATTGACTTCCTGGGCAAACTCTGGCCCGCTTTCTTCCTTGGCAGAGGGCAAGTCTGGGTTTATCGGGTCCACATTCTCATGAGGTGCATTCAGACGTCTTCTCCATCCTTAAGTGAGCTTACCCAGTCTGACAGCCTGAAAAGCCACCTGCCCCCTCCCAGCTACCCCCAGGCTTGCATATCTCAGCCCTGACCTTTCCCTCAAAGTCCAGACTCATATCCAACGGCAGTAGCCTCATAAATCTTGTGTTTACTGTGCCTCTTGTGCTGATTTAATCCCTTGTTTTGTACAGTAATGTGCTGTATAGGTTTTTAGCCTAGGAGCAGCAGACTGTACCATACAGCCCAGGTGTGTGGTAGGCTACACCATCTAGGTTTCGCCAGTGCACTCCATGACGTTCACTCAATGACGAAACTGCCTAATGACACATTTCTCAGAACATATCACGTCGTTAAGAGATGCATGACTGTACATGATTTCTCAACAAAAATGAGATCATACTTTTTTTTGCTTCATAGTATGTCTATGCTCATCTTTCCACATCTGTGCGTGCAGAGCCGCCTCAGTCTTCGCCATCTTCACTGGGTGTCACAGCATGACTTGCATGATGGACTAAACCCATCTCCTCCAGGGGATTTCCACTAGCTTCCCTACTACCGACATTGCAGCAGTGACATTCTGGTAAATGCGCTGTTGCACACCGGGTATTTCTGCAAGGCAACTTCATATAAGCAAATGGGCTGGCTCTAAGCCATTTACATTTTGATAATGCCCAATCGCCCCCTCCCCAATGCTCAACCGATATACATTTCCATCAATAGTATTTACATCCTCGCCAGCAAAGCATATAATTTTTTTAAATCCTTGTTTATCTGATAGATGAAAAACTATGATCTCGTTGTTGTTATAACTTGCATTCCCTTTATTATCTATGAGATTAATGTATTTTCATGTCTTTCTGGGCCATTTGTGCTTCCACTGTGCATTGGCTGTTTGCACACTTCTCTCTGGTCCTCTGGAGCAGAGGTGAGTTTATTGTATCCCTTACGTCACGGTGCACGAGAATCATCAATGGATGCAATGCCACTCTCGTTTCAGTGTCGTTTTTGTCTCTTTTATCTTTGATCCCCATCCCCATCCCACTTAAATATGAATGGATCCTTGTTTAATACCTAATATCATTTTTGTGCATTTCTGGTTTTAGTTTATATAAATGGTATTATGCTATCGATCTCATTTGTTTCCTTACTCTTTTGTGTTTCTTTTCTTTTCTTTTTTTTAGGCGAGGCAACCCTTGGTTGACCTCACAGATTGCAAGGACCTTGTCAGCTTACAATCTCTTATTTTTTATTTTTTATTTTATGCCTACAGCACCTGGTCTTCCTAGGTGGTCTCCCATCCAGGTATTAACCAGGCCCGACCCTGCTTAGCTTCTGAGATCTTACTTTTTTCTTTGAATACTGTTTTAAAAAGCTATCTGTTCATTGCGACTGTTGGCTAGTGTTCCTAGTTTGCCTCTGTTACACTTTACTAATTCATTCTACTAAGGATGGATGCGAAGGTCACCCCCAACTCCTGTTTCCACAAAGGATACTGCAGTCAACACCCTTGAACATGCCCCTTTGTACACCTGCATGCGAATTTCTGTGGCTTACGTACCAAGGAGTGAGTGTGTGGGGTCGTGGAAAAAACATATACCTCATTTGAGACTGCCTGAGAGAGAAGCTGTACCAGTTTACATGCCCACAGAAGTGACCGGGGAGTTCCGTCTGCCCACATGCTCACCACACTTTGGTATGATTCACCTGACAAATTTTTACTCACTTGGTGGTAATGAAACGGTATCTCCCTGTAATATTAATTGAAGTGCACTGATTACTTCTTTGACTCCATCTTCATGAGTTTCTTGCCATTTGGGTCAATCCTTCTGTGAGTTGGTTGCTTATATTCTTGTCCATTTCTCTGTTGTGTTTCTCCTCTTTTCCTTACTGAGTTGCAAGAGTTCGTCGTTCACTAGATCGTAACCACCTGTTGTCAACACTATCTCCGAGGGACTTTGTGGAATAGACATCCTTAATGTTGATATAGTCAGACCCATTAACGTTGTGAATAGGAGTTTGTATTTTGCATGTCTCCAGTCCTCTGTCCACCCCTGGGCGGGGGGCATTCTCCTATAGTCTATCCCGTGAGATTATAGTTTAACATCTGTGTTCAGAATGAAATGCTGCTACTTTCCTGCTACTGTCCTCATCTGGTTTGAGACTCACATCAGGAAATGGGCAGTTTTCTCTCATTCTCTGTCTCCTGGAACAACTTTTACAAGGACCATCGATCTGCTCCTGGAAAGTCTGGGGGAACCTCTTTGTCCCAGTGTCTCCGTCACGGCTTTCACACTGGAGTCTTACATTATCATTTTATGTACCGATGATGACTCTATTGAAGTTTTGGATATTTTTGTGCCAATTTTGGCATTTCATATTTTTCTGGGAAGTTATTCGCTTTAAGTTTTTATAATTATGAACATACAATGATTTATAATAGTCTTTGAAATGTCAAACTTTTGTCTGGGCTCAGGGGTCAGATCATGTGGGACCTGGAGGCCGTGAAGAAAACTCTAGACTTGTAAACATAATGGAAAGTGTGATAGAATATTGGAAGTTGCAACTAGACTCTAGGAGAGAATGAATATGAAACGCCAAACTAGGTTGCTGCTGGCCAAAATCCAAATTTTAAAGAAAATAGAAAGAACCCAATCTACCTCAAGAGTATGAAGGGACGGAGGACAGGTATTGAAAAGGGATTTTGTGATGGGTTGATTTGGAAAGGGCTGATGTCATGCTGAGTTCCAGCATTCTTCGGGCGGGGTTGGGGGGGGGCTGCCTCCTAATCCCAAATCTAGGGAGCAGTGCTTCAGGGATGCCACCTGGAGAGCTTGTGATGGGCTCCCTGAAATTGCGGCTGCCCGGTGGGTTCGTGCGAGACCTCCAGAACCACAGTGGGAACTGCCAGAGGGTTTCTGTCATCTGGCCGGAGGTACCCAACGGTGTGAGTCTACATGTACCAGTCAAAAGAAAACCAGAGCCAGCCAAAAGGGAGGCCATGCCCACTTCCCAGGAGTTACAGTCAAGGGGGCGGCCCATACAGGAGCCTTAGGCACTCCCCCAGGGCAAAAGCCCACCTTAAACAGCTGCCACCCAGAGGGTAAGATGCCATCCTGCCCAGGATCAAGGAAGTACTTCATGCACCCACTTCCCTTCCTCCTCTCTGCACCCCCACAGCAGAGGGCTCTCTTGCTGGGGGAGCAGAGGGCAGGGAGAAGGGCAGACCTGACTTCCCTCCTTGACAGCAGAGGCGGAAGCTGGGGAAGTGGAGACTGTTTCGACGAGTCAAGAGATTTAGCTATTACACAAAATGGGGCATTCTTATAGAACCTGTTTAATGACTTCAGGTGATCGTAGCACCATGAGGGAACATGGCACAGAAAGTCGTGATTTCATTTAGGAGGCATAGAAAGAAGTTCCCTTATGAATTTTAGAGGGACATTGAGAGACAAAAATAATCTTTTATTATATCCCACACATCTTGTTTGGTCAAAGTAACCATCTCTTGAGGGGAAGTGATATGAGCTGATTTGCATTTTTAAAAGATCCTCTGGCTGCTGTACAGAGATTAAACTGGGTGCCTGGGGCAGAAAGAGGGTTCATCACCCAGGAGAGGGTCTGTAGGACTCAGGCTGGGCGAGGCAGAGAGAGAGAAAAAGAGGAGAGGTCTGGAGGCTGAGCCTGGGCCTGCCGCCATTTAGAGGACAGGAAAGGTCGGGGAGACACAGGCGTGGAGACCAGATGAGAGAGGCCAGTGGGGAAGACGTGTGCCAAGAGAGTGAGGACTGCCAGCCAAGTGAAGAAAGTGTTTCAAAGACGGAAGCGTGACCAACTGTGACAAGACCTACTGAGAGGTCAAGGC